GTCTGATCCATCATGATGTGAACAGCTTTGGCACACAATCCTGCGGCCATGAACTGAGCCTCTCTACTATACTTTCCCACCATGATGGACTGAAACACTCTGAAACTGTGAACTCAAGGAAACCTTCCCATCTGTAGATTGTCTCTGTGGGGCTTTGTTGCAGCAAGAAAAGCTAAGTAACAATGCTGACGGCTTGAGGCGATGAGGGTTTAAAACTGGAGTGAGCTCGACTGGTTTGCATTTTGATGTGATTACCCCGATTGATCTGAGGTTATTAACCATGGCCAAAGCTCCGAAGCAAGGAGACCAGGCAGGAGGGGTGAATATATCCATTAGCACACGGTCAACATCTGCTTGGTCACTTGCACTCCCATGATCCTCCATGAGCAGAGCATGTCCTGGCTAACACTGATCTAAGGAGAAACACATGGAACAGAACAGACTCAGCAGAGCCCCTCCCCCCACAACTGGATCAGCTCAGCTGACCTCAGGTGTGAGGAGGAAGGCTTGTGGCTGTTTGCCCCTTGGCTGAGGCTGGGGAGTGATTTGTGGAGAGCAGAGCTGGTGAGGCCATTGGTAGTGGAAGAAGTGAGGAGAAGGCGGATGCTGGGAAATGTCTGGTGTGTGCTGGAAGAAAAAAATGAATAACTTCAAAGTTCTAGAAAAGAACCCAAGTCTGAATACTGAGTGCTTATCACTGACAGGGCATATGGGGTTGAGAATTCAGGGGCCATCCACCCAGAGGGGCCACTTCTGGCTCTCTGCTGGCACGGCAGCCTCCTCACTGGCCTGTAAGGACAGGGCCCACCTGCGCTCCTGGGTGTAGCCCACAGCCTCCATGACAACCTTCTGGGTGATTACAGGATAGAATGAAAGACAAGTGTGACACATTTCTTAAGGCAGCCAGCAGAGATGACAGGCTCAGGGTGGCACAGTTGTGTGTGCAAAGCAGGAAGATCCCACCCAGGATGCCCAGTGGCCAGTGGAGTGGAAGGTGAGAGGGGAGGAGCAGGGAGGCCTGTGGGGAAGCCATGGCTGCTGACCAACAGAGAGGCTTCACAAGGCCTAGTGCAGGAGTGGACTACAGTCACTAGACACCGGGAGGACAACTGTCCAGGCTTGACCAGTGGTACTGGTGAGAGATGATGGGGTTCCAAGGTTCCTACTTCAGAAAAAAGATCACTATGCAGCCAGGCTCCAAGGCAGCACAGCAGAAGAGGTGCTTGCCTAGGGTCCCAGTTCACGATTTCATACAGCGTATGGAGCCCAGGCCCAACCCCAGTCCATCCAGGTCCCGTCCTGACCCCACAGCATGTGATATAGTATCGTATAGGCACTTGGAGAGGCTGTTGGTGAGTGAGCCTCTCTCCTGTGCTTGCCCAGCACTTCCTGTTTCAAAACAGGCTCTGTGTGGCTGCCTACAGGTTTCCTTTTCTGCCTCAGATCCTCAGCTACTGGGCTCAGGTCTAAGGGCTACAAATGCAGCAGCAGAAGGTCTGACCAACAGTGGCCAAAACAAATAAATGGTTCCCTTGTCACTTGTCCCCATCATAAGGCAGCCGCTGGCAAAGGTTCAGCGGCAGAGTGAGACCGAGGGACCCAGGCTCTGTTTGTCTTTCTGCTCCTCCATTATGAGCACCTGGCTTCTGCTGTTTATGCATCAAGCTCACAAGAAGGTGGTAGCAACTCCAGACATCTCATCAGTGTTCCAAGCATGTGAAGGGACAGCACAGAGGGCAGTGCCCAACAGGTAACAGGTCGGCCATTTCTCCTCCCAGAAGTCATCTCTCTGGCTGACTGTCACTTATGAGTAGTTGATCAGAATGGTGCAACCTCAGAACCCCAAAGACTGGGAAAACAAGTACTGTTTTTTTTAAAGATTTAATGTGTTTGTGTGTGTGTGTGTGTATGTGTGAGTGTGTGTGTGTGTGTGTGTGTGCGTGCGTGCAGGTGACTGAGGAGACCAAAAGAGGACATCGGATCACCCTGGAGCTGGAGTTTCAAGCAGTTGTTAGTCACCATATCTGGGTGCTGAGAACTGAACTCAGGTCCTCTGCAAGCACTTTTAACCACTGAGCCTTCTCTCCAGTACCCAAAAACAAGTATTTCTTTCCTGTCCTAAATACATTGTTGCTGCCCACCACCCCAAGCTAGAATTCTGTAGAGTGGAGGAAAGGGGTGGGAGGAGCTGAAAGGAGTTGGGAGGGGAAGGGAGGGGGTGGAAGAGGAGAACAAGTTGCTTTATCCATCTGAACTCTGACTGTTAGACGTGGGTGGCAGAAGGAGTCTCCCAGGAATGTTCCCAGTGTCAGAGGTCTGGGCCAGGCGATTCCAAGTTCTTAAACTCTTATTCAAGGAACTGAAATAAGGGTTCACAGACTGCAAAAGTAGCGAGGGAAATTTATTCAAGGCAAAGTGATGACATAGGTCAGATGCTCCATGCCAAGTGACAAGAGCTATGGCCTGGGAATTCTTTTATAGGGGCTAAAGGAAAAAGGAGTGTGGTTACTTAGGGCATAGTTTGAATGGGTGTCTATTTTGATTGACAGACTTGGATTCCATTAACCTTTGTTCACTGTATGTGTCCCTTCCCATAATGCATCTGATTTTAATCACATGCAATTTTAATCATATGCCAGTTACGCATAGGCATAAGATGGTAAACAGGATTCTCCCTAAAAGTCCACTTACGGGACACAGTCTTTTTGAGCATGTGCCCAAAACTAGTTCGGGCTGGATCATCCTCCTACCCTTGTGTTGGGCCTAAGTGGAAAATGTCTGCATAGAATCTAAGTTTGATGATCATTAAGGGGAGGATAAACTGTTCAGAGTCGGGTGTAAATGCTGCTCGATGCAGGAGGGGGGTTCTGGATTGCCAACAAGTTGCTAGGTGCATTGTTTAGAGTGAGGTGTGTGCATCATACATGCAAGTAAGGGTCTCGGGCTGCCAAGTGCCTTGTCAGAAGACCGGTGTGTGCATAGCCCAAACCAGATGGCTCTTCCCTCTGCTTGCATGCCTCAGGAAGGACCTAGAATTTATTCCCAGGCCCTGCAAAGAGCAGAGAGCAGCCAGGTGTAGTGGCACACACCTGTAATCTCAGATTTGGGAGATGGTAGCCAGCCTGGGCTGTGTAAGACTGTTTCAAAGAAGGGGGAGGGGCTGAAGTGATAGTTTAGTTAGTAGAATACTTTATCTGTAAACACAACTGAGTTTGATCCTGTGTTAGGAAAAAAAGAAAGTCACGTGTGGTGGTTGTAATCCCAGTACTAGAGAGGCAGAGACAAGCAGATCCCTGGGGGTCTTGGCCAGCCAGCCTAGCCTACTTGATGAGTCCCAGGCCATGAGAGACCCTGTCTTAAAAACACAAAGCAGAGCCTGGCGTGGTGGCACACACTTTTGATCCCAGCACTGGGGAGGCAGAGGCAGGCAGATCTCTGTGAGTTCAAGGCCAGCCTGGTCTACTTAGTGAATTCCAGTTCATCTGGGGCTACAGGGAGACCCTGTCTCATGACACCTGAAGTTGACCTCTGGCCTGCACACACATGTACCTCAGGGAGGAACAACGTACACACACACACACACACACACACACACACACACACACACATGAGCAAGGAGCCCAGAGGGGCATACTTGGACTGTGATTGACTAGAAGGGGCACCCCAGGGCTTTAACACCCCAACCTCCAAGCCATGCCAAAGTACCCCATGTATGTAGGATTTTATGTTTGTGTGTGTGTGTGTGTGTGTGTGTGTGTGTGTGTGTGTTTAAAAACAGGGTCTCACTATGTAGTCTGGAACTCATGATGTAGACCAGGCTGACCTCAAACTTATAGATTTCTGCCTCCCAAGTGCTGAGATCAAAAGTGTACGCCACTACACCCAGCCCATTAAAGAAGGTTTTAATGCTTTTTTTGTGTTGGGAAGTAACTCGTAACAAACCAGCCTGTGTGTGCCAAGCTGGGGGGGGGGGGGGGCACTTTTCTCACTGTGTTCAGCCTCTTCCAAAGCTGAGGCCCCTGGAAGCTTGGAGACTTATGAGGGCATTAAGGGGTGGCCCCGAGCTCCTGGAAGCAGAAAAGAAATGCTGAGCACTTCTTGGCTAGAGTTGGGCTGTCAGTATGGGCTGTCTCCTCTTAGTCTTCTGAAGCCTCAGGCTCAGGGGGTGGAAACTTATGTGTCACCCCACTATGGCAGCACCTGACACAGATCAACCAGTGTGTGTTGGGTGAAGGATTGAAAAGCTCGGGTAGAGTCATGTCCATGTGAGTGGAAGATCTGGCATCTGTGTGGTGGGATTGGCTCAGTGCCAGACCCTGAGGTGCCTCACAGAGACTTCTTCAGCCTTCATGGCAGCCTGAATTCTCTAGAAAGAATCTCAACATTACCTGTGCATGGTGGCACATTCCTGAAATCCCAGCACTTAGAAGGCTGAAGCAAGGCCAACCTGGGCTACATAGTGAGACCCTGTCTCAAAAACAAACAAATAAAAGACCCAGAAAAAAATCGCAGTTTTGCTAGTGCAAACCCGGGTGGGAACCATTCCTGGAGATGGTATGATGGACATTTTCTGTGATTTCCGGTAGCTGAGGTTAGATTCCTAACACCCAGTTCCAGAAAGGCTGTTTGTTTCTCCTGAGAGTCCAGCCCTCTGCCCTGCACCCTAAGTTGCTTCCACTCCAGGCTTTAACAACATGTGGACAACCACAACATAGATTCCTATAACACACATGCCTGATTGAAGTTGGGGCCTAAGACTTGAGCTGGTTCAATCAGAGCAACCCTTCTTTAAAGCTTTGCCTGGGACAGGCAAACGAACCTGAAAGGATCAAGCCCAGAAGAGTCATCTGCCTGAGAATGAGTCCACCAGCAGAAGGCAGAGTCAAGAGAGACAAGAAGATGAGCCACAATGGCATCATTCAACACCCCTACCCTCCCACCCTGCTGCCTTGATCAAGCTGAACCTGAAGTCGTGATAGTTTCAAACTTGAATCAATACCTTTATTTCTGCTTGAGCAGGAGAGCTGAGTTTTCTGTTTGCAGTAGCACAGGTCCTGATTAGCAGATGGGACAGACAGACAGGGCCAGGGCCCTTTGAGTAGAGTAGGAAGTCTTGAGAGTTGGCAGGAGTGAGCTGAGTCCAGGCTCCCTCACTTGGCTGGGCAGATACAAAGATTTATACAGATTTACGTTGTTCTGAGAAAGGAGAGCTAACACCAGAGGAACAAATTTCTGTGTATCTCCTGTTTGCTCAGGGAAGGAGATAATTCCTATAAGTGGGACCAAGGGGACTGAAGCAAGAGTTGGTTCCTGTAGACATGAGTGGTAGTTGACCATGGAGCCCAGAAGCTGCCAGAGAGAAATGGGGCAGGCCTGGAGCAGGTGGGTGTACACTGCCATGTGACACGGGGCTCGCTGGGACTCGCCTCTGGTCCCTGGGAACACAGGAGCATGCTGTTTAGGATGTGGTCCATCCAGGGGAACTCCACTGGGGACACAGGGAGTTCTTCAGCTGTCTGGGAAGATACACCACAAAGAGGGGATAACAAGGCCTGCTGTGACGTCATCAGGGTTTGGTGGGGACCCTGGAAGGTCAGGACCATCCAAGTGAGAGGGCTTAGGTGAGACCTGGAAGGGAGACAGCAGGGTGAGTTTGGGAGACAGAGTGAAGCCAGGCTCAGGGCTGTCCTGGCCTAGGGCTACCCAGTACCTGGCTCAAGTTTGCCTTCCCTAGGATTGCCCTCTGTTTTCCCTACATACCCTGCTCGGGGATGGTGTTGAGGTTCCACTGGGCTTTCATGGGAAGAAGGGTTACAAGGATGAGTGGGACCCCGTGATTCCTTGGGTTAATGGGCAGATTCTGGGTTCCCCGGGCCTTCCTTCTGGGAAGGCTCCACAGGCACAAGCCAATGACAAAGAAGTGGAAACTGAGGCCACCTCCATACCCACCGCCTCTTGTCCCTGTCTAATGCTGTTCTTAGAGACCTGAGGGCGATGCTTGGGGGCAGGATGCATACCCCTACAGCAGGCTGCAAGGGTGTTTCTGCTGCCGTGTAGGCTGTGGACACAGGACAGCCCGGATGGCCTCATCGAAGACAGTCTTCAGGCCTCGCTGAGTGAGCGCGGAGCACTCTAGGTACTTCACGGAGTCTGTGGAGAGACAGCAGGAGAGTGGGGGCCTGAGTCACAGAGAAGCTGTGTCACCCTGAGTGGGGAGTATCACCCTGAATAGAACACGACTCCCTGTGCTTTCTCCCGTGGGACTCAGTGGGAAGGTGGGGGCCCCAGGGCCAGGCTATCTGACATGAAACCCTTTGCGTGAGACTGGCAAGACTGAAGGACAGGATTGTTTCTGTGACCAAATCCCAGCCCTCAGGAGACAGAGGCGGGCAGATCTCTGTGAGTTTCAGGCCATCCTGGTCTACATAGTAAATTCCAGGCCAGCCAGACTAACATAGTGAGACCTTGACATACCTCACCCAAGCCTTCCTCGGGAGCAGGCACTTCTGGGAGGTCTGAGGACCCCTCCCAAACACCACTGTTCATCATGTAACCACATACAAGGAAACTGAAGTTCACAGGGGTTGTGACCTCACCTGCCTCAGGGTGGCTCAGTGAGGAGGGAATGGGAATGGGGAGCCGTTTTATCTCCTCTGGGAAGAGCCCTTGTGACTTCCCATCCCCTCCAACCTGAACACAGAGACATGATGCTGCTAGACTGGGAGATTTCAGAACCCGAGGAAGGAAAGGGGAAGGAAGGGGACCCTGGTCCTGAGCTGGATGGAGGTGGACAGGAGGGGGACAGGAGCCTCTGACAGCTGTAAACAAACAATGGCTGTTGCCCCCTGAACTCACAGTAGCTGTGGTGACCTGTACAAGATCTGTACAAGAGCAAGCCAGAAAGATCAGTAAGTATTCCAGCAGGCCACACTAATTGGACTCAGTGGGTTTTACACACACACACACACACACACACACACACACACACACACACACACACGGAGAGGGAGACGTGATAGGGATGCAAGTAGGAGGGGTGTTGGGGGCATTTGTGATCAACACACATTGCTTATATGTATGGAATTGTCAAAGAATAAATCAAAGATATTCTATTTTTAAAAGAAATATAAAGGAGAAAGAGAGCCGCTCCCCAACTATGAAGGCATTCATTGTGGCCAGCTGCCTCATCCTCCTACCCCTAATGTCTGTCCCACCCTAACAGGACTGTGCCTTCAGACTGTGAGCCAAAATAAACCCTTTTATCCTTAAAAAAAATAGAGACTGGAGAGATGCCCCAGTGGTTAAGAGCACTGGCTTTTCCTGCAGAGGACTTGGGTTTTATTCTCAGCACCCACATGGTAGCTAAAAACTGCCTGTAACTCCAGTTCCAGGGAATACAATGCCCTCGTCTGACCTCCACCGGCATTGCATGACCAGGGTGCACTTACATGCATGCAGACAATACATTCATACACATAAAATAAAAGAGAAAGAGAAAAAAGTTCTAAAAGGTCTGGGGCTGTGACTTGGTAGTAGAGCATTTGTCTATCGTGCATAAGATCCTGTTTAATCCCAAAATGTAAAAATGATATGAAACAAGTGAGGGGCACAGCAGGACAGTTGCTGTCTCAGATTGAAGCCCAGTTTGGGAGCAGGGTTGTCAAGAAGAGATAGCAGGGGTATGTCCCTGATGTAAGGCTGGGGCAGGGGACCCAGGGCTAAGCAGGAGGCCCCTGGGGAAGGCGATCATGACACCCAGCCAGTCACAGGAAGACTGTGGGCGGTTTCTCTTCCTGTGAAGACATGTGAGTCCCCTCCCTCCTGTTTCCTGCAGAGGAAGAGGTGCAGGGTTGAGTGGAGGCTGAGGGCAGCTCCGTGGCTAGACCCAGCTGGTGGTCCTACTCCAGGAGGACACCATGAAGGAGACCAGACCCAGAGTCAGGCCCTGCCTGGGGCTGACAGCCTGGCCACAGTGAGGAATCCCCACACACCCAGAAAACTGCTTCTGTCTTTTCAATCCCAGCCACCACCTCCTAGCTCCAAGGACAACCTTGAAAGTTCAAGCCTTCTCTTTCTAGTGACTTGGAGGCAAAGAGTAGAGGCCAGAGAGTCAGGATGGATGGAGAAAGGAAAGTGAGAACCAGGGAGAAAGGAGCAAGTCACCTTCCAAATACCTAGTGGGGCACCTCCTCCAGGAAGTCTTCCAGAAAGTCCAGGCTGGATTTGGCTCCAGGCAGCCACAGGCTGTACCGCCCATCCCTGCTTCCATCTATTCCCATCAATCCCTTGCTTCAGGGTCTACACATAGCAGATGCCACAACTGGCTAACACAGAGCTTTCCCTGGGCAGTGCTGCTCCGGGGACCTGTGAATTAATTCTTGTGTCCTAGCCACCCAATGAGGCAGGAGCCATCACTACCACTGTGCCTTCCTGACAAAGAAACACAGGCACAGAGAGGCTGAAGGACTGGCCCAAGGACACGCAGCTGGTGTGATGGTTTAGAGCACAGAGTTTGACCATGCAGCATAGCCTTAGAACAAGGCTGTGTTTAGGCGCCCCCTGCATCCAACTCCCTTCTCTGAGCCCATGTCCCCATACCAATCTCCTTGGCCAGTGCTAGGCCCTGTGGGTAGGTGATAGGCGCCAGCTTCTTCTCCTTCAGCCTCTCAATGGTTTCCTTGTCATCCCTCAGGTCCAGCTTGGTGCCCACCAGGATGATGGGGGTACTGGGGCAGTGGTGTCGCACCTCCGGGAACCACTGGTGGGGAGAGGGGTGGTGAGAGGGAACAGCAGGGGCATGAGGGCCGGGAGACTAAGGCACCCAGGAGAGAGGGGACGGGATCCCAGGGTGGGGTCATGGGGTGCCACAGTCATGGGAAGGCATGCAGGAAAATGGCAAGACAGTGCGGGAGATAAGAGGCAAGTGGGGCGGTATGGCGATAAGAGGAGGCCTGAGGCTGTGCAGGAAGGAAAGAGGACAGGGCACAGAGGCAGGGAGGAAAGGTATCCATCATGGCTCCCCAGGAGACCCCTCTCCTATTGGCCCTGAGTGGCACTGAGAACCCTCTCTGCCCCGGCCTCTGCTGACCCAAGACAACCTTAAACTGCCAGTGCCTTCTTCCCTCAGAGCCACCTGTATGCATCCACAACCCACTTGGCTCAGCTCACCTTGGCACGGACGTTCTCATAGGAGGCTGGGCTGACAAGGGAGAAGCAGATGAGGAAGACGTCCTGGGGGCAGAGCAGGGTAGAGTTGGCAAGAGAAAGGACAGAAGGTCCCATCTGGGCCCCCACCCTGGGCAGTCCTTAGGGTCCCTAATATCCACAGAGGCCAGCATCCCTTCTGAGAGGTGATCCCGCCCAGCACTCTGCAGGGTGGTCAGAGGAAGGCATAACTATAAGAGGGGACGTGGGTCTTCAGAGCCCCAGGTCCTGCTACCCACTGTGTGATCCTCTGATTGTCAATCTGATTCTCTTTTTACCACTGTGGGTGGAGAATCCAGGCCTGGAGCCCCAGCAGCCATAGCGCTACCTGCAGCAGGACCCCTGTCCATCCTAGCACCAGGACACACTGGGCTAGCTGCCTGCCTGGGTCCTGGCAGGGTCTGCCTACTGCACACTAAGAGCTGTGTGCTAATACATGGGGTGGAGCTGGGGTTGCACAGCATGGTGACGTGGCAGGGAGGGGGGATAGGTGCACGGCATGGTGACATGGAGGGACAGGGACAGGGAATAGTGACATGGGGTTCAGGTAAAGGGCATGGGACGTGGGGGTACAGGTGAGGGGCATGGTGACTATGGGGGCAGGTGCAAGGCTAGGGGAGCACTATCTACCCTGCAGGCTCCTCACACTGGCCTCAGAGAGTTGACAGACACAGCTGGCCCAAAGGGCATCAGCATCAAGGCCACAGGAGGCAAAGGAACTGCTCACCGTCTGTGGGTAGGAGAGGGGCCGGAGGCGGTCATAGTCCTCCTGGCCGGCTGTGTCCCACAGCCCCAGGTTCACAGGTTTGCTGTCCACCATCACATTTGCTGAATAGTTGTCAAATCTGTGGGGAGCAGGAAGGACAAAGGGCGAGGTCAGCCAGGAACCCAGAGCCTGTGACTCCAAGCCCAGCCTTGTGTTATTCCACTTAGAAGCCAAGACTCAGAGAGGGACTGACTGTGACTAGCTCAAAGTCACACAGCACTGTGCAGGTGGCTGTTCTTGTTCTTTTTTATGACTAACCAATACTATTAAAACATCTTAAATAAGAGAGGAAAACATGTCTTAGTCGTTTTCCTGCCTCCACTTATCCTTCGGAAAGGCGACTGTTGCAGTTGTGTAATATTCCTTTGAGGATTGAGCAGAATAAACTTTCCTCTCCTCTTATGCAGAATAAACTTTCCTCTTCTCTTATGCTGAGCACCTAGGTTGAATGACTAGGTGCTCATCCCTGATTTAGGCTGGGTTCCCCCCCACACCCGGAAGCACATCCCAAGTGAAGGAGGTGGTAAGGGGTATGTATGTTTGGGAAGTGACCCTAGGAAGCTGTCAGAGGGCAACAGAGAGGGGACAGGAAAAGACAGCAGCCAATCCAGGTTTGTGTTAGAAAGCTGCAGCTGCTTGCCAGAGATGCCTGGCAGGTGCATGGACCAGGTCCAGAGCCTTCCGGAGGGGCAGGAATCTGGGGACCATCTGCTGTCTCACTCCCATGACACACAGCTGTTCTGGGGCCACTCAGCCGGCCCTGGAGTAGACAGATATACATCAGTCACAAACCCATGGAAATACCTGCTCTGGCCCTGAAGTGGTGGGGGACCAGACACTGGACCAGGAGCCCAGGAAGCAAGGGTCTGGGCAGGACGAGTTCTGAGGCTCTGGGAGGGTCCAGCCCAGCACTAAAGGCTCTGAATACAGGAGGCTTTAGAAAGTAAGTTCCCCGGGCAGCATGGCTGGAGAGATGGCTCAGTGGTTAAGAGCACTGGCTGCTCTTACAGAGGACCTGGGTTTGTTTCCCAGAATCCACATGGCAGCTAACAACCATCCTTAACTCCAGTTCCAGTGAATCCATCGCCCTCCTCAGGCCTCTGTGGGCATTGCACACACGTGATGGACTTACATACATGCAGGCAAAACACACAGACATATAAAATAAAAGTAAATCAAAAATTTTAAGAAAAAAAGAAAGTTCCCACCACTTACACCCAGGAGCAGACTCCTCACGGTGACTCACCCAAGGCCACCAAGCCAGTGAGCAACCAACCTAGGGGAGAAGCTGTGTCTGACTGACTCACTGTACCCTGCCACAGCTATGGCTCCAGGGATGACACCCTGATTGCTTGCCCCTGGGAGCTAGGGATTACCAAGCCCCTCACTGAACTCACATATTCAGCTCACTTCTGATGACCAGGTCCACTGAGGCCTCAGGCACCTGGCTTCTCCAGCCATTTCTCCCTCACCCAGCAACCATAGTTTCCCTAGCAACACTCATACCACCTGCCACCCTGAGCTTGCCCATGCTGTGTCCCCCCTCCCCAGATGTCCCTCACTACTTTAGCTTATCCAAGTCATCCCACAAATCCTGACTGCTTCCACCCTCAACAGGGTTTTGACCAGTCTCTGGAATGCTCTCCTGTCCCCCTTTCCCTCTGGTCTTCTGTTCATGTCTCTAAACTCTGCCTGTGGGGAATTCTCTGGCCTACCCTGAAAAAGCTTACAGTTCCTCTCACTGCCATGACTTTGCCTTGACCTTGGACTTCAGCAGATACCTTCTCCTGTGGTTCCTGTGGGCTGGGCTCTTAGCTGCTTGTTCCCACACTCTCAGCCTGGCAACCAGTGAATGTAGGTAGAATGGAATTAGCCAGACTGAACTGAAGCTCCTGTGTCCTGCCTCCTCCTGGAAGCCCTCAGAGAGCACTGCTCAGTCAGGCTGCAAAAGCCTGATGCTTCTGTGGAACTCTAAAGACACCACTCAACAAAGAACTCCCACCCAACAACAACAGCCCCGTCTGTGTCAGCCCTGGAGAGGGTCCTGGGCACCCCTCCCTGCAGTGGAGAACATGCTCCCTCTTCCCACATGCATTCCCTTCCTCCCTGTCTAGCTTTCTCCCTCCCCACTGCCAGGCTGACTCTAACCCCTTCAGGTCCTTGGGACTTGGCTTACTTGCTCTATGCGGCCTCCTGAGACCAGTCCAGGATGGAGGCTGGCACATGGTAGGTCTACTGTATCCCTACTCTGGGAAAACACACACACACACACACACACACACACACACACACACACACACACACTGTGGATCTCAGAAAGTGCCTTCTGGGAGGCAGGGTTGGCCACAGTAGGAAGGCAGGTATCCGGGCTCTTTGGGGCTCTGACAAGCTGGGAAAGCCAGGACATTCTGTTCTCCCAAGATGCCTTGAGGCAAAGGTGCCTGCCTCCTTGGGACCCCCCAGGCACTCAGAGCACCTAGAGGAGACTAGGACAGGACGGGACAGGACCTTTCAGAGTACCCATCCAGAGCCTCCTCTGGGTCAGGCAGAAGAGGCTGGCCCGTGTGCTTTAGGTCTTAAAGTCCCATGTGACCCAGTAGACAGACGAGAAAACTGAGGCCACAGGAAGTCAAGAGTCTTTTCCAAGGCAGGTCACTCCGGGGCACAGGAGGTAGCTTCATACTCTGCTCCTTCAGGGTGTGAACAAATGAACAGCGGGAGGGTGGGCTGTGCCCAGGACACTGCCCAGGGCTGGGAAAGGGCAGGGTTGGCAGTAACACTGCTGTTCTGGCTATGTAGCTCAGGGAGAGCATCACTCCTTTCCTGATGCCTGTGACTATTAGAGACACTAAAGAGACAGGAAACATTCAAGCCTTCCCACTAGGAGACACTGAGAGGCTGGTAACCTTACTGTCAACGTCCCCAAATTTTCCCCACCTGGCCCTTCTTTAGAAGACCAGCTAAGTGAGCCTGAGGGACAGCCAGGGATACATGTGTCCATGATATCAAATTCCTGGGCCTCTCATCGCTGTGGCCAGCTGTCACCTTTTTTTCTAGATGTGAGAAGCAGGTTCATGGGCAGGAATGGACTTGTCCAAGATGTCCCAGATGGTCAATGGCAGGGCCAGGCCTAGGTCCTGTTACCTACTTCCGAAAAGTCCATGTGGTGAACATGGTTGCTGAGTTACACAAGATGGTAAGGATGGGGAGGTGGGCACTTTCCACTTGACCTGGTGGCTCTGAGGCCTGGCCTTCAGGGGCAACCCTGCCCCTAAAACAGTGGGAAGGTACAGGGGCTCCACATGCAGGGGTCACCTGGCCACCACCCACGAAGGAGGATGGCACATTTAAGGAATCAAGAGTCCATGGGGGCACATGCGGCTGGTTTCTGGGTAGCAGAGGAGAATTGACCAAACATGCAGGAGTGGGGACCAGGGAGGCCAGTTGTCAAATGCTTGGGGCTCACTGGCCCGGCTAAGTCACCAAAGTCTGGGTCCCCAAGGAAGGCACAAATTAAATTCCAGAGACTGAGTCTCAGCCAGCTCTTCCCTTCAGAGCCAAGCCTGTGGTGCTCTCCCAGGGCAGGCTGGAGGAGGCTCTGCCCAATAGCCAGAGTGCACCCACCACTAGCAACAGCGAGGTGACATTCCAGCAATGTGACATTCTGGAAACAGGTACTCTGTTCTAGAATTAGAGCCAGTAAAGGGACTCAGGCTAGGGTGTGGCTCTACCTAAATTCTTCCTTTTTTTTTTTTTTTTTTTTAACAGGGGCTCCCTAGTCCTAGACCACCTAGAAATTAGTATGTGATCCAGGCTGGCCTTGACCTCACAGAGATCTACCTGCCTCTGCCTCCCTTGGCCTGGGATTAAAGACAAGCGCCACCAGACCTTTCA